TTCACAATAGACGTTTATACACCATTCGATAGAGAATTTCAAGAGCTACATTTTGCACTATTTGTATTTCAAGATAGATAAAATCGACTTTTTGGCCTAATGTCCGCTTAGTTGCCCACTGTGCGTTGCTTGTAAATCGGTACTGTTATAGAAAAAAATGTTCTTGCGATGTGATAAATGATAATGGCTATTATGAAAAACATTTCGAGGCTCCTATACATTATCCGAAATACAGGTACATATATAGACGAATAAGCCGCACTTATTAGCAAGTAAAATATTTGATTTTTGAACGACAAACTTTAATTTTTTATTTTTAAATAAAGTTACCATAAACAAAACATAACAAAATATTCTAAAAACAAATTTTCGTTTGTCACATAGGTGGTGCCGATGCTGAATGGTCGGTAGCTTTGAAGTTAGTTGACGATCCTCTAACGATTATATCACTTCCAAGTCCACCACCAAGCCAGAACGCAATTAGCAATGTTGCCGTATAACAAAAAAATTGAGCTGTTACCAGTAATGAAGCGCTGTAATTGACCGTGGCATGAAAAAGACTTCCATAAGCCCCTAACATGAATATGGATGCTATATATGATAAAATAAATAGCACGTACTTAACAATATTTGGCAATGTTTTAAGTGCCAATACCACCAATATTGCAGTAATAGCACAAAGTAAAAGAAATGAAATGATAGATAAACCGGCTGCCGGCCCGAAGTTAGTTACACCCACACCACCCCATCCCTTAGTACTGATTGCAATGAGTGTTAGTAACCCAGAAAAACCAGTTAATCCACCTGATATTAATAATACAATATTTTCATTTAATCGTATACTGTCCATTGTAAAGTAATAAGAGAAAACGGTTAAGAAAAAGTTAGTTTTTATATATGATGATACAATAAAACACCTACAATTTTAGTAATGAGAATTGAAAAACTTATCGTTTATTTAATGTGTCATGATAAGTGTGACAGCATGGAGAAAAGTGTTAAGCAAACACTTATAGCAACTAAACAAAACCACAAAATGAATATCATCATTGTAAACTACTATGCAAGTGAAAACATTATAATTATCGAGTAAAGATGGTGTAAAAAGTTGTAAAAACAATGACTTTGTTTCTGTCATAGTTAAACTGCATTTGTTGTTAAATATATTAATATAGTCTTCTGTTATGCAACCATTTATTACTGGACAGATTTATCCTATTCTCTTTTGATGGCCTTCATAAGTATTTATCATTATTACATAAAATTTTTAAAAATTAGACTTCTTGATCGAAAATTTGAAACTTTTCCTTTTTTTTATTACTAAATCATGAAACATCATGTAAAGACACAACAGGTTTATTCGATAAAATCTCAACACACTACTAAACGATGATAAAAATAACAGAATTTGTTATCACATATCGCTTCTATCAATTGTATTCATCGTCATCCATCTATCAATAGATGAATGATATCGAAAAATATCAACACTCAATTGCTTAGACTCGTTTGATTGCTCGAAAACATTATCAGAATGCTTATTAAACATTAACTGCCACAATCATATAAACAATTATATCCACTTTCATGTGTCTTTTCTCTCTTATAGGCATTATTAAATTATTTTCTCATATTTTTCAATAGCATTTATTTTATTTCTTTGTGGAACGTATTTGAGACTGAAAGGATTATAGATATACACTATCTAATAATAACAACTAGAAAAAAAACGTACTTATAAAAAACATTAGGAAATGTACAAATGATTAATCGTTTAAACTGATAAAATTATGTAATTTAGCTGATCTATAATCACCTCGTAACAGTACGAATGATTCGATTATTTCACGTGACAACGATGCTAAATGTCCCTCAGTACTAATTTGTTTTAAATTTTCTGGTACAACAACCAGTAGATTCACTAAAGCGTGTAAAATTGTAAATAATTGTTCAACCACTGAACTACGAAATTTCTTGGAACATTTTTTATATTCACTGATATCTTGTAACATCATTAAACCACCTATAAAATCAAAAAAACATCCGAAGATAAATAAAACGATAAAATTAGTTTACTTACCGGCAATATTATATTCAAATTTGAATACGTGATCAGTTATTGCACGATGAAATCGTATACCATATTCATTCAACACGTCGGTCAAATTTTTTCCATCAAATGTTTGTTCTAGTCGAACAATTTGTGTATCAACAAATCGAACAACACGCTTACATACCTAAACATGATATAATGTGACGCTTTTCATATAATTAAATAGAATCTCTTTTTAGTTTACGTTCGAACATTCTGTTATAAGAGGATCTGTTTCCGGTTTGAAATCAGACCGTTTCTGTTCATTTAAAATAAATCGAATAAACCCAACTATACAGGACAATGATCTAAAACAATATGAACACCCACTGGAAAAAATTTTACGCATAGAGATTTTCACGCATTGGATAGGTGAAAAATTTCACACACGGTGTAAACTATTCCATGCTTGAAGGGTATTCTGCGTGATCACGAAGGATTTTTCCATACGTGCAGTAACCTATACCACATACGAAAAGTGAAGTTCATTTTTTTCAAGTTCAGAATAACTGGGTGTTGTTAATAATGTTTGACAGAAGTTATCCATCTAGAACATATGGTTTATTCTTAATCAATTTTCTATGTGTAAAACAATTATTCTGTTAATGATTCATTCGTTTATTAACAAAACAAGAAAAAGAGAAAAATAAGCACAGAAACAGTTTATGGTGATAACTCAACTAAATTCGGTAATCGTACGAAGATACATTCATCGCTCGTATAGTAATAACACAGTTTTTCGGTCGAGTTTGAAAATAACGAATATCATGGAAACTACTTATTTCCTCAGAAAAGCTATAGCATCACGAAAAGCTAATGTAAGTCTTCAGGAAATTTAAAGTCGTTTTTTTTACTTCAAACCTTTGCGTGTTCAAACGTGGAAAAGGAACACACATGACATAACCAAGATGACTCATCAATTTTTCACACGAGAAAATGTGAATCATTTCGTCCTTGTGCATAGAAAAAAACCACACATGACTTTTTCCACATTTGATCACACAGAGTTTTATGAAACGTTTTCTTTACTGAGTACAGCTTTCATATCCTTTCTAAAATATATTTGACGTGACTTAGATAGCTATCATTGTTAAAATCACTGTAGTAAAAATATATTGAGCAATTTTCTTCTATATATCGATTCCTGAATATTTTTCTCATTACTAAAAAGTGAGAGCGAAGAAGATTTAGAAATGTGTAGTTTTAGTGACTCAGACGTTAAAGCGAAACGTTATTTAGTTATTGCCTAAATTACTTACTTATCAACTCCAGTATTAATCAATTCTTCCAATTGGTTCATTATTTTTTCTTTTGTTTGCAAAATAACAGATTGTTGTTGTGTGCCACTAAATATTAGATTTAAATAATAAAAACAACAGAAAAATTCAAATAAATCTTTAAATACATACGTCAATAATGGTGCAACATTGAAAACAAAATAACGTTCAACTAATTGTATGATATTATTTGTTTGTAATATGGCATGAAAAAATTTAATATCTGGTTCTTGTCTTGGCTCATTACCCGGTATAGCACTGAGACTAAATTGTAATTCTATTTCAACATGTTGAACACACAATGCATTTAATAAACGTAAAAAACATTGACAAATATTTTCTGATGCTTCAAATCCTTCTGATAACTAAACAAAAACGTAATAATTATAATTTTGATTTTTAAGCTATTGAAGTGTTCTATCTACCATTGCTATTCTATTCATTGATGTTTTACAATCATCTAATAAAACTGCTCCTAATTCGGATGAAAATCTCGACTCATCAACTTGATCATTAGTGCTTAATAATCGTTGTTGAATTATATCGGTAATACTAGAATAATGAGAATAAGATTACATAAAAAATAAAAAAAATAAAGATAAGAAATTAAACCTTGTTAATCCAGCTTGTTTAATTCGTCTCTGTCCACCACTACTTCCTTCAATTCTTTCGAGTTGAAGTTGAAATTTTTCTTCTAAACAATTTAATTCGTATCTAAAAGTGTCATAAATGATGGTTAAAAACATATATTTCTATTGAAACATTGTTTTTATAGACGTTTGAATACTATCATGGGGCTATAACGTATTTTAATGACACTTTCACTGTACTATCAGACTTATGTTCTCTAACAAATTACTTGACATAATCCATTCTCTTACTTGCTATAACTTTTCAAATACACTTTAAAGACATGTTGATTTAGTTTGTGTAAAAATGCTGGATCATCACTAATCTTTTGTGTTTGTAAATCGTTTGATAATTTTGATGCTCTAATATGAAAAAAGAAAAAATATGAACGAAGATAGATATGAATGAAAATTAATTGTACTTTTTATTTAATAAATAGAGTGTTTGAAGATATTTTTCCATGTTTTCCAAATCAGGATTTTGTTCATATGGTTCAAGTTTTGTTCTAACATATGGCTAAAAATCGATAATATAAACATGTATGCAACATATGTATCGGTATATTATAATAAAATATTTTACGTACAGCTAATTTTTCTGTGTAAACTGTTATGATCAATTTTTCAATTACTTTTTCCGGTTGATCAAATAATTCATTAATTAATTCGGATACTTTTATAAATAATTGTGGTATAGCATCGAATATATCTATATTCGGATTATCAAAATAACCCTAGAAAAAAAAAATAGATTGGAATTAGTTTGACATATAGAATCATTGCGTTTCTAGTACCTTTAAACAATCTGTGATAAAATTTTGTACACAATCATTATGACCCTAAACAGAAATAAATTCCATTAATATAATATTATATCTAAAACTTTTTATTCTATACTCACTTTAAATTTAGACAGTAATTTAATATATTTTTTCATTGTTTTTTTATCATTTCGAACTTGTGCACGTGAAAATTCTTGTAACAACATTTCTTCAATAGCCATGTATCGTTCTTTCACTTTTGTTTTTGCATCAATAAATCTAGAAAAAAATGAATGATATTTATTTTATTATTGAATAATTAATATGAACCTACTTTGGTTCATCAGGTAATTCTTGTAAAACATTGTAAAGTTGATGAATAACGTGTGCCGCTTGCTCAAGCTAAACAGGAAAAAGAATTTTTCATCTATCAACATTTAGTGAATTCAAACAATTAATATAAATGAATAATATGTTTACCTTTGAAATATCATGAAATAGTCCAATGACATCATCGTTTGCATCCAAAAATCGTTCAAGATATTTTGCTGTTGTACGTGCTTCAACTAATTGTTGACGAGGATTACTTTTACTTTCTAATTGATGTCCAATTTGAATAACTTTTGTTGATATTACACTAATACGCATTTCTAACTCTTGTTGACCAGTGTAAGCATTCTGAGTAGAAAAGAAAATATGAATGATTAGAGAAAAAAATATGTTCATTTTGCCTATTACTTGAT